ACATAGATTAATACAATACATTATAATACAAAATTCGTACCTACAAATCTACTAGTAAATTCACTTTGAAAAGGCCCAGTAAATATGTCGCATCTGAAGTGGCTACTTTAGATAAATCACTACTTCAGATGCGACAAATACACTTTGAAAAGGCTCCTCTGATTAAACATTCCGGGATATACGGCAATCATATCTATTTCTGTATTTACCATCTATAAACGTTCAGCGTGATCACGAGTGTAGGTATCTGAAAATCACAGAATCAGATGGAAATATTTGATTTGTTACAGCGTCTCATATACATGTTCATTTTTCTGAAATAAGCAGTGCATCCTCATTTTCACCTGGTGTGCAACATGTGAATAAATTATTTTACAATACCAGATCAATCCGCTAGTACATGTTATGATTATATTCCAACACCATTTTATTATAATAAAAATGGTGTTGGAATATAATCATAACATGTACTAGCGGATTGATCTGGTATTGTAAAATAATTTGTTCATATGTTGGACACCAGGTGAAAGATCAGTCGTGTAACATCGACGGTTCCTCCTGTCAGGGTTACGTAATGGAAACTATAAGTGAATGTACGATCGTTTCCTACTAAGAAAAAATGTCTTCTAATATCGAATATTTTAAAAAATTTTCTACTGAATACCAAATCCTTTTAATTACTTTTATAGCAAGATTCGGTTAGAAACATTTACATATGATAAGTCTGTAGAGCATATGGACTATAGGAAGGTTCTTATAGATTCTATAAATAATGACTTTCCTAAAAAAAGAACAACTTCTAAAGGCAAAACGTGACTGGGTAATGGTACGTATCTTTTTTTTTTGTTTTATTAGTGTCGGAAATGTATATGATTACCTAGAACGTGAAATTTGCAAGCCTGAAGAAAGTAAATGCTGCGTGTCAAGTAAGGTTCGAGAAAGACATATCTCATGAGGTAGGGTTTGAAAGACTGCGCGTCAAGTATGATCCATGTCAGAATCTGAAAAGACTACGTGTCAAGTAAGATTCGAAGAAGACATATCTCATAAGGTAGGATTTGAAAGACTGCGCGTCAAGTATGATCCGTGTCAGAATCTGAAAGACTAAGGTCCAAAGGAATACATTTAAGATCTGAATAGGCTTGTACCTTATGAGTGCATGATATTGGAGACTCGAAAAAATTTATAAAATAGCAGTTTACAATATTAATTAACGATATCCAATATATATATTTTTTAGAATAAATATAAATCTATTCTTCAAGATCGGTGGAAAATCCCAAAAGAATTTCACGAAATAATTGCGAGGTTTTCCGACAGTTATGATGATCATGATAATAATTTGAACGAATAAGTAATTAATAGTGATGAAGATAATTATAATTCGGAGGATAATGTTGTTGATAATATTGGCAAGAAAGATTCGATAATAACATAGAAGATACCACAAGCGAGGAATCTGAAGATTTTTCTTTAGTAGAATTAAACAGCTATGAGATTAAAAATAAAATCTCAAACGTAAGCTGACTATGATATTTTGTTAAGTAATATTGAATAATATTAATATTTATTTGCTAGCTGGTAACGATATATCCACGCATGTCAACAATTATGAGAATAATCTGTGATAACATACAAAATGAAAAATTAGATCCACAAGATTTACTTTCTAATGGTATTGTTAATCATACTTTTTTACAAAAGTACCACAAGCGATTGTTTGATCTCATTATGGAGCAAGACTGTTTGAACAAATTAATGTGGAATAAAGCCGAAAGATGCCAGTATAAAACGAAGTTGACGGCTGAGGAAGAAAATTTTATATGTATCATATTGTCCTTTTTTACATATATCTTATTTTGAGATATTAAAGAGTAGAGTATACGATTTTCAAATTTTATATAATACTTATGGTAAATTTTTATTTAATTAAAAATAAAAAAGGATTTTAGTATTTAGTGCATGATGCACTGCAGTGCATCTTTATAATTGATTTACAAATTTGCATATAAAACAAAAAATAACTTTTAATTTACTTTAGGGTTAGGACAAGGTTTAAAATTTTATTTAAGCATTAATATATGCAAATTTTAGCAAAGAATTTTTTTTATTAGAATTCCAAAGACAATTTAATAGTCAAAATTTTGAGATATTAGAATTTTTTTAAAAAAATTTAAAGAAAAATTTTTTGTTTTTGTTATACAAGATTTTTATGTTATATAAATGATTTACAAATTTGATTGGCTAAATTAAAGGATGCACTGTAGTGCATGTGCACTATATTTTAAAACCCAATAAAAATATATTTTCTTAAGTAAACAGTTTTTAAATATTAATTAAAAATTGTAGAATATATTTTTCTGATTCTAATGATAGTAAATTCATTAAAATTGGTTAAATATTGATTAAGATATATATGTTTAAAAATTAGGTATCATAAATTGTTTATATAAATCATATAAAATCATATAATTTGGATCAATTATGATTAACAATTTTATATAATTATAGAAAATTTAAAGGTATTACAAAGAACTTTGTGATATATACAAGTATATTTTTTTAAACTATTTTATCTATTAAAAATTTACTATTATAAAGAATATATTTTATTCCATATTATATAAAAATTTGATAAAAATTAATCATAACAATAAAAAGTTTTATTAGTAGCAAAGGTTTATTTTTTATAAAAATTATATTGTACTACAAAGATCATATAAAAAATAATCTATATATATTCTATCTTTAAGTTTAATTATTTGTTTTTATTTTCAAACTGATCTGAGATTAATAAATTTTATAATTTTGATTTGTTAAAAGTAGCAGATAATTATTGAGTAGTCTTGTAATGTATTTGTTCTATAAAGCTTTATATAATTTTTTTTTGTATTATTATAATTTTTTATTATACAAATAAACTTTCATTTATAATTGAAAAATGTTAATCATGTCAATATTTATATAAATCTAATAAAAATTCAATTTTTAAAAAATTGTAAAAATAGACTGTTTCTATTAATAATATCTTATATTAAGTATAAATATTGTATTGCACCTAATAGTAGAGAGAACATCAAAAAATTTTATAATTGCTTAGAAATATTTTTGTCCCAATTAAAATGTGTATGGAAACTAACTTTGTATAAACAAAAATCTTCAAAAATTACTAAATATTCATATTTATATCAAGTAGTTAAATTTATTTGTAATTTACTATTATATAATATTAAGAAGATTAATATTGAATACAATAGTTATTATTATTTTTTTACTTGTAAATTTTTTTAAGAAATTTTAATTTTGATTTTTTTTTCTTATTAATTAAATAATAAGGATCATCTGAATTTATATACAATTAAAACAGAAGACAGTTTGAGTTAACATATTGCTTAAACTTAATAGCATCTAAGAGTTTTAGATTACTTAATTATAAATAAAAATTTATGTTTTGTGAAATAAGTTATAGTTTATATTTATTTGATTGAAAACATTATTGAAAAGATAAATTACAATTTAGAAAATTTTTAAAAGATTCTTAGAAAAATGCATATTTTTTTACTTAAAAAAGCAATATCTTAAATTAATTATTAAAAGATATAATAAATGAACTGAATTATGTAATGATACATTTTTATAGAACAAAAATAAATATATATATCTTGGATTGTAAGATAAAACTATTTATCAAATATGACTAGTAAAGTTATTAGAGATACTATTTATAAACAATAATAAATGTAAGACAATACAGATAATAAATAAATTATATAAAGAAATATTAATAACAAACAAATTAATAATTAATGTTATTAGAAAAATATAATCTATTAATCAATTGTTATTTAAAAAAAACAGTTCTATCATTTCTTCAAATTTAATAAATTTTAATAACTTATTTCTGATATTTATAATATCTAATGGATCAACTTATTAAATTTAGATAGAATAATAATATGATTTATAGATTTTATATTATTTTATATACAATAAAGTTTAAAATGTTATTAAGAAACTTTAATTATATTTTAAATTAATACTATATTATTCTGTATAAATTTGATTTTACTATCATTACTTGTTTTATAAAGTTTATAGATATTCTAAACCAATAAAATGCAATTAATTATTATCTGAATTTTAAAATTCTTTTGTTTATATTTTTTACTATAATCAAATATCTTTTTTTTCTATTTGATTGTTTTTATACTAATAAGATAGTTGTCTGAGTTATTTGCATAGCTTTGTAGAACATAATAGAGTTATAATAGTCCTATGTTTTAATAAAAATGATTTAGTTTGTTCTATAAAAATACACAATTTAGTTGTTCTTTATTAAAATAATCTTTTTAGATGTAATTATTGCCTTTTAAGACAGGCCAAGTATCTGACTACTATTTTCTTATATTTTATTTTCTTTTTATAAAAACACTGCTATTGAGAACTCAATTGCTAACTTATTATTATCAGTATAACAAAAGAAAAAAAATCATACAGACTTTTACAATTTTTATTAAAATTACTGATCTACAAGACAAGAAATAGTTTAAATGTATTTATCTTTTTATATAGTTATAACTTTTTGTTTGATACTTTTAATATATTTGATCAATATTTAACTATTATAATATTTGATATAAAAATAAATTACATATTATCTAATTATAAGTCTGTAAAATCATATAGTATATAATCTGCTATAAATCATTATAAATTACTATAAATCATTAAATTATTATAATTACTAACTATGTTAGGTTTTGATATCTTTATTATTCTTAATAAAAAAATCAAATATTACTCAAACCTTTTAATAACTGTTCTAAGTATGTTATGAAATTATACTAGTTATAGTAGTAAGCAATATAATAAATACTTTGCAATTAAAATGATTATATAATAACCTGTTTATTGTAAGGCAAAATAAAAATTTTATTCAATAGACAGTATAAGTTAGAATTAATCTTCAAGATTTGTTACTTTAACAAAAATTTAGTATATATCACTAATTTTGCTTATTTGGTTTTTATTTTAAAGATAAGTTAGAAGATATTAATTACTATTACTTAAAGCTATTCAAGAATAAGACCACAATCTGCTTTATATATTGGAAGATAATTCATATTAATATTAATATAAAGCTAAAAAAAAAGCATCATTTCTCAAGGGATAAATATATAAAAATTCTTAAATCTAAAGATCTAATATTAAAACATTGAGATCATGATAGTTTTAGACCTAAAACTGATTTTGGGTATGTAAGAATTATACAAAAATTTTGAAGTTTTAAAGAAAAAAAATTATCTAATGCATGATTTGTTTAAAACAACTTAGCAAATAATAATACTTTAAATAATAAGAAATTTTTAAATTTAACTTTATACAAAATAAAAATTTTTCAAGCTCAAAAACAATTTAATCAATGGTATACTAAATGAATTAAATATTATAAATAATGTAATTTATATATTTCTTTAGATATTTATATTAGAAAATATAAAAAATATTATATGCTATATAATTGAATAGATTTTAAAAAGAGTCAATTGCAAGTTAGATTTTAAAAACAACTTTTAAAAATATAGTAGAAGCATAATATATAGGTATTTATAAGATTTATTATTTGTTTTGTAATATAAAATATCTATATTACAACTACTTATCATATTATTATGAACATTTTTTAAAAATTTATAATAAGCTAACTAAAAAAGATATTAGACTAAAAATTATACAATAAACTTTTTTTTTTTTTTTTGTTAAAGATTATACTTTGTGGTAATACTTTATTAACTTTTATTGAATTAGTTATTACAACTATTTTTACAAAGATGAAAGTACAACTAGTCATATATACAACTTTTGGTTGTCTATTTAAGTAGTCCATCCTAAGGTTCTATACTAAATGACATATCTATAATCTACTAGAAGATTATTTATTTAAACCTTCTGATTATCTGCCTATTATAATGTAATTTTAACTAACCTCCATATATACCTAACTGGTATATCATCTAAGCAATATAGTATTTATTCTTTTTGTACTAATTCTACAATAAACTTATTAAATCTAAAACTTTTAAATAAAAAAAGATTATAAAATTTTATGCAATATTTTTTAAAATAATTAAGGTTGTACAAAATTATATAATGTTATACACAACTAAAATTAGTAATTTTTAATATATTTTTTATAATTAACAAATATTCGAAATTAAATTATTAAAAATTTAGTAATTAAATTTAGCTACTTTTTTTATATTAAATTTGTATAATAATGCAATTTTAATTATAATAAAATTGGAAAAACCGTAACTCTTTCTGCAGATCACTTGTACCAAATTTTTGCTAAAAACATTTAATTATTTCTAATTATTTTATTA